GACAAGATACCCAACACAAAGCAACGTATGGAGGAAGGATTTATTTGGGCTCAGGCTTTAAGAGGTAGTCCATTGTGGTGGGAAGGCAGGGCTGCGTTCATGGTGGTGGCTCCTTTCAGTGAGAATGTTTGGTTTCTTTAGAAGCACAGAGATGTCACGGAAGGGTTTTGTTTTAATCCCAGGTGTGGGCTATGGGGCTGCTTCAGACTCCACAGCGGGTGCTTTACCTCGTGCTCTGGCAGAACATGAGTTTTCCAGCTGCAGATAGTTTCTGCAAATGTCTGACTTTTGGGATTATGGAATTTTGGAACCCTTGAGGGGGTGTGTAAATGCTAAAGCCCTGAGATGGGCTCCTCCTCCTCCTCCTCTTCTCATTTTCCTCGTTCTCCTCCGCTTCCTGCACTGCTGTTACTGCTGCTGCTGCTGCTGCTGCTTGTGGTTGTAGTTTGTCACATGGTCATGCTCAAAGACGAGAGGAAAAAATTGAACATCCTGACAGCGAAGATCAAGCTCGCCTCACCCCAAGGAACTCGATGCCAAAAATCAGCAGGAAGTAGCCTAATGATAACGATGCCCCCTTTCTCCTTTGTCCTTTCTCTCCTACCTAGTGTTGGGTGGTTGGAAGGGTGGAACGAGGGTGGGGAAGGGTGGAAGAAAGTAAGGAACCCACGAAGTAGCAAATGCCAGCCGCAGGTCCTGCTGCTGGGACTGCTCACACAGAATGCTTCCCCTCTTCGGTCCCGAACTCCAGCCCACAGCACGGTGCTACCTGCATTCAGGGTGGCTCTCCCCTCTTAGGCTAACCCTCAGTGGAAATGTCCCCGTAGGCATGCTCAAGAAGTGTCTCCTAGGCAACTCCAAGTCCAGTCAAGTTGACAGCGAAGTTTATCATAACAGGAGCTACACTGTCACTGGGACCCAAATTCTTCCTACTGAACTGACTCTCAGTCTCTGAGAGGGGAAGCAAGCTGGCTATCCTTCACAAATACGGTGTTTTTGTTTGTTTTAATGTGGCAGAAGTAGTAAGAATAACAAATGCTTAGATTCACATATGGATGGGCCTTTAAAATATAGTGTCATCGATTACACAGGTGAGACTTTGAAATAGGGTGCTCAGTTAAAAAAAATAAAATTAAAGCGCCTGCTGTTCACAGGCATTTAGAATACATGCACACAGGGATACTTCAAGGATGCCTAGCAGGTAAATGGTACAGTTCCCATCCAGAGCAGTGGTTTTACCTCAGCAGGCAGTGGAGACAGCTATGGGGACACGGTAGCCCACAGAGAGCAGGAGCAGGCAGGAGCTTGTAACTTAGCCTCTTTTCCAGCTCCGCCCACCTCCACAATAGGTGGAGGCCAGCCTTCTCACACCCTCCTTGGCCCAGGTCCTGGGATGCAGCATCATCTGATGTGTTGCCTTCTAGCTCCCTCAAGAACTTGCCTTCCAAGTGCTCCACAAAGCGCAACAGGATGAAGTTCCCGGGATCCCTGGACAGTCGGCGCTGGGTGTTTGTGAGAGAGGGGCTGGATGACTTCCGGAAAGGCTGCCCCCCACGCCAGAGCCCCAAGGATGCCTTCCTGCCTCATATTCACCACAGAGCCCCCAGTGCTACCCCCAAGAAGAGGCAGACTGGACTGCCCAGGGAAGCACCCCTGTTGTCCAGGCTCTCCAAACCAGGGAAGGCATTCCTAGAAGACGTGGACGCTAACACCACCCTGCACCCCTTGGTTCTCTACCCGACTCTGGAAGAAGCTCTCCCTGCTGAGGTGATCTATCTGGCCTTGAGGAAAAGCCTCCTGGGGGCCCTAAAACAATTCTCTCCAGAGGCCCAGCAGGCCCTGGGGGTGCATGGTAGAAGAGAGGAGGTCTTATCGCCAACTAAAGGTTCTTAATCAGTTCAAGGCAGCCTTCCTTTTTCTACTGAGGAAAACACAAATGGTGAGGCAGGCAGTTGTTTCCTTGGCTTCCTGTGCAGCCATTCAGCTCGCCAGAGTGTTTAACACAGGCACGGCCAGGCTCTCTTCCCTTAAGCTCTCTCAGTACTTCAGACTTTCTGGGTATAGGGGGTTGCTCAGTCACTCTTAGTTCCATTTAGCCTGGGCTAAAGATGTCTCCTTAAGAACTCACTAACAGATGGATAGAGAGGAGATCCTGAGGGTCATGGAGAATCCACCACAATGCCCAGGCCAGGACTCTGTTGTGTCACCCATGTCCGGGTCTGCTCCTAATTCATCTTCATGACCCTCAGCACATTTATCCTGATTTTATATTTCAAAATGGATCCAAGTTGGTCTTTCCAACAAGAAGGAAGAAATGGCCAGTCTTTTCATGGAGCCAATGGTGACGTTCCTAGGAACCGGCCCTCCTTTGACCTCCCCCAGCTGCTGGAGAGCCTAGACATGGTTTCTTTCTTTTTAAATAATTTACTTTATTTTATGTGCATTGGTATAGGGGGTTGAACCGCCTGGAACTGGACTTACAGACAATTCTGAGCGGCCATGTGGGTGCTTGGAGTTGCTTCCGGGTCCTCTGGAAGGGCAGACGGTGCTCTTAACCACTAAAGCCATCTCTCCAGGCCTGGCAACGGTTTCTTAGTTGAGCACCATAGCCTTAAACAAATCCCAGGCTGTGTGAGACCTGAGGAAGAAGGTTGGCTGGATGAGGCAGGGGGTGAGCAGGAATGGCTCTCCACCCCACCCCTGCAACCTTCTCCCTGGCTAGACATGTAGGTACAAGTGCACCATTTGTGAAGCCAAAACAGGAGCCACACTGTCGCTCATTGCTATTAACTGCCCGTACCTTACAAGAGTACGTTTCTGTTTCCTAAACCCAATGTAGCCTGCAAATCATGTATTTCAGGCTAAGCTGAACTTGTTAGCCCGTGATGTGTGCCCACCCCTTGGCTTTGCTGACCCCTCCCCCAACCTGTGATGGCTCCCCTTCCCCGTGATATATCCTCACACCCATCCCACAGGCAGCTCTGAGGCTCCCACTCTTCTCTCAGGTGCTAACAGCCAATTATCTCAACAGCCACTCTCTATCAACCTTAACCCCTCCCCGTAAAGGGGACCTCTGCTCTCTGAAACCCCTTCTTAGGAGGAGACGGTTGTTTGATCAGTCTCTCCTGCACTTAGACATTCAGCTGCCTTTAATCACACAGTTGTGAAGTGGTTTTTGTTCTCAGGTCCAACACATTTCCTTGCTCAAAGCCCCTGCCTGACCTCAGGGGCCAGGGAACCTATGTCTGCTGCCGTCCCAGTCCCAGCCTCACAACCGGCTTCTCTTCCTCTCTCGCTCCACTCCAATCACTGTCGGAAGGAAGGAAGGAGAGAAGAAAGGAAGGAATGGTTCATGCTAGAAAAGTCAACGAGAAGAAGAGATGATATTTCTGATCAGTGATTATCTACACAGCTTTTCCTCACTGGGTCCTGTAAGCCAGAGCATCAGAAACTCAGATAAATTTGTGGTTATAATATATCTCATATGGCACATGGCACAGAAGTGTGGCTCTCCTTTCCCTGTCTGATTTCCCCAACCAGGTTTCATTAGCTTTGTTATGGTTGTTGTTTGGTTTGGTTGTTTTTTTGTTTGTTTGTTTGTTTTGTTTTTATTTTTTTCTTTTTATTTATTCTCTCATATATTACATTCCAACTGCAGTTTCCCCTCCCTTTCCTCCCTCCCTTCCTCCAACATCTCCCTACCCACTTCCCTTTTCCCCAAGGTCCATGCCCACCTTCACCTCCCCTCAGAAAAGAGCAAGACTTTCAGGGACATCAACCAAAGACAGCCAAACAAGCTACAATAAGACAAGATACATATTCTTCTGTCGAGGCTGGATGAGGCAACCCAGTAGGACAGTGGTCCCAAAGGCAGACAAAAGAGTCACCGACAGCCCCCAATATTAGGAATTCCACAGGAACACTGAGCTATACAACCATAACATATATGCAGAGGACCTAGGTCAGACCCCTACAGGCTCCCCAATCTCTGTGAGTCCGGTCAGTTGATTCTGAGTGCCGTGTCCTTGATCCCTCAGCTCCTCTGATCCTTCCTTCCCCCCTCCTCTGCAGGGTTAACTTCCTTTTGAGCCAGGGTCTCTTTATGCTGCTAATCTGGCTGCCTGCAGACTTCACAACTTTACAGCAAAGAAATGACACTCTTTGTGTGTAAGCCCAGAAAAATCCAATCCTGTAGCCTACTTTCTGTGTGTCCACTTGATTCATGAGCCTGTTGCATCCCTAAACCAGTCATTGTGGCTCTGAGGTGGTCTGCCTGGAGAGTGCAGAGAAGGTTAGGCCAGCTAGGACCAATGGAGGGAGAGATGATTACTTGTGTGTGTGTTGGGGGGGGCATGTGTGTGTTGAGATATGTGTGCAAATGTATGCCTGTGTGGTAGGGAGAGAAGACAACCTCATCTCTTGTTCCTTGGGTGCTCACCATCATTTTATTGAGACAATGTCTCTTACTAATCTGTGACTCACTGAGCAGGTCTAGGGCAGGCAAGTCTCCATCACTTTTGCTCTAAGATTACAAACTTGCACCACACCCAGATTTTTTTTTTTTTCTATCTGAGTTCCAGGGATCAAACTCCGGTTCTCATGTTAGCAAGGCAAGTACTTGGCTGGCTGCATTATCTCCTTGGCACGTGAGGTGGTTTTCCAAGGAAAAATGCAGAATTTCCAAGGAAAAATTCTTAGGAGGTGTGAGAGGTACCCAGAGATGCCAGCAGCAGTCAAGAACCACAGAAGTCCAACAGAGACACTCCGTCTCGGGCTTTGGGGACCTGGGGGAGGCTCACAGGTGTATTCTACTAGAGGAAAGGGAACCATAACACAGAGCCTGAGCACCCAAGGGAGGTTTGTAGACAGCCCACCGCACGGCACTCAGTGCAGAACTTGATGAATGCATTTGAGGAGGAACTTGGTCCATTTTGTTATGGAATTAGAGCCCCTTTCCTTGCAATCTTGCCTTCACCCCCAAGTCTGCTTTCTCTTTGTAGCTCTTATTACAGGTGCTGGAGGTGCTTGACCCCGAGAGGAAGCTGAAGGACACACAGGCTTATTGCCGAGGTCCTGGGCAACTAATGAAGGAAGGCACGAAGCTTGTAGAGAAATGCTCTCCCCAAGTGTGCCTGTGAGTACTGCTGATGTCTTTCCCTGATGAACATCCTAGGAAGGCTGCTGTGTTTAGAGCTCAGAAAGCAAGGGATTCCTGGGGACACAGGAAGGGGTCAGTCCATGAAGATCCTTGGAGGCTGTGCTAAAGGTGAAAACTCTTTTTTGGAAGAAGAACTACTGAACACAGAATCTTGTGCATAAATGTAGGCGACAGTGTTATTCCTAATAGCCAAAAAGTGGCAAGAAGTCGAACACACATCAACTGGTGAGTGGAGAACAAAAGGAGATGTAGCTCCTCAATGAAATATCACTCATCTATAAAAAGGGATAAGCCACTGGCACACAAGTCCTCATAGATTATCTCGGCAAGCTTTATGCTAAGTGAGAGACCCTTAGGAAACTTGACTGTATAGTTCCGTTCAAATGAGACATACAGAGTAGACAAATCTGTAGCAAGTGAGAGTAGATTGTGCTTACCGGGAAGGGGAGAAGGGTGTAAACAGAGAAGAACTGTTCACAGTTTGGGCTGTGCTCTGGAACAAGATAGTTGTGTTGGTTGTGTGACTTTGGGAATATATATTACTGGATTATATAATCTTTAATGCTAAAAGATTTTTTTTGAGATATAGTTTTAGTTAGTGCAGGCTAGCCTTGAACTCATATGTAGTTGAGGATAACCTTGAACTCCTTCTGATCCTACTGCCTTCACCTCTCAGGTGCTGGGATTACAGGTGTGCACCATTACAACTTTTTATGCAATGCCAGTGGTAGAATTTAGTGCTTTGTGTGTGCTGGACCAGTGTTTTCCCACTGACCTATAGTCCCCAGCTCAATACATTTGAATTTAATAGGTGCTATCTGAGTTGGATGGTGGGTGACTGCATTTGACTTCTATTTAGCAATAAGAACTTGGCCTGAAATTTAAATAAAGAAGTAGGGATTGGGAAGATAGAGAGCAAGATCCGGAAACACCAGTGGGAGCCTATCACAACAGTCCAAAGAAGCATAAAGTTAAAATCTACCAGACACCGATGAGCTGGAGATAGAGATGAGAGAGAGGCAGAGAGACACACAGAGAGAGATAGGAGAGGAAAGAGAGTAGAGAGAGACATGGGGAGATAGATGTATAGATAGATATAGATATATAGATATATAGATGATAGATAGATAGATAGATAGATAGATAGATAGATAGATAGATAGATAGATAGATAGGCAGGCAGATGGATCACTATCAAAATGCTCTATTTTCTTAAGATTACAGGTCAACTTCAATTAGAGTGGCTTCTACCTGATACATGTATTAATTAACAAGTGGTACTTGTAACTTTAAAAGCAAGACACTTGATTTAATGTCTTCAAGTTTTAATCAGTATGACGAGCCATGACACACTTGGATTTCTAGTGAAGAAGAGGGGACTGTGATCTGTGAAGCTATAATTCACTTGACCTTCTAGAGACCGTGAGAGGTCTGATCATTTCTTAATGGTACTGGTTGAGATCTAATTGGCTTCACTGGGCCTCATGTTTTATTCTTTGATGATCTCATGGTCTTTAGGCCCAAGAAGATGATGGGGTCACACCCAGGCCAATGGCTGTGTGAAGAAAAGCCAAGCAAAGTGGATTTGCTCTGTGAAGACAGGCTTGTCCATGAAGACATACGCAGAGGAGTCAGTGACTTCTGCGCCTGGGCCATGGCTCTTGTAAGTAAGCAGTGACACCTAAAGTTACCATGGAGAGTTGTGCTCAGTGTGTGAAGCCCTGGGCACAAAGCCGCTTCTATTAAACACTAGAGTCAAATTCTCAAATCACCAGTCATGAGGGAAGCACTCTATACAGTCATGGACAGTAGAGAGTTCTGGGCAGAGGAAACTTCTCTAAGTTTGTAGGCTCGGAGCCGATGTGAGCATTCATGTTTCTATTTGCACCTTGGCCATGGCTTCCTAGTTTCTGTCCTCGCTTTAGTATCAACTCTTTCCTCCATTCTTCACTCCCCACTCTCAGACATGCTTAACTGGGAGGCTGGTGAGCAGCACTTGACACAGCTGCTCTTCTGAAGGGCGGAGACCTCTGCCTTGGTTGTCAGCTCTTTCCCTGCCTTTCCTCCAAGACGATTTCCTATCGTTTTTCCTGGATTTAAGAACATCCAGTGTTATTCCCTCTCGAGAGTTCTGATGCATGGCTAGTTTTCAGTCAGGTGTTTGACACGTATATTCACTACATTTATCTATTCATGTGTGTGTCACAGTGACAGAGCACAACTTCTGAGAGTTGGGTCTCTCCATCTATCGTGGGTCCTGAGGGTTGAACTCCACCTCTCAAGCCTGTTGGCAAGTACCTTTACCAGCTGAGCCATCTTGCCAGCCCTAGTCAATGTGCTTATTTAGTACTACTTCATTAGCAAGAGACTATGCTCCAAACCCAAATGTAATTTGGTGAGCTTAAAGGAGAATTACCCAGAAGCACTAGGAGGTTGAGGCACAGCCAGATCAAGGTGCTGACCTGCTTTTAGCTGCTGTCCTCGTGTCTTGCTTACCCCTCTGTCTGACTTCATTCTCGAATTTTCCTCAAGCAATGGACGCCAAAAGTCATCACCAAAGTTCATTCAGCTTGCATTGTACCAGTAAGCAGCCTTTTCCAACAGGGCAGAAACCAGGACTTCCTGTCTCTGCATGGGCCACGTGCCTGTGCCAGAATAACCACCATGATTAAGGAGACAATGTTCTCCACCAGCCACCCACAGCACTGCTTGACTGTCTTTAATCCAGCTGCATGGGACTGTCCGATTCTCACCCCTTCTCTCATTCCTATTGCTGGAGATTGCTCTGCCTGGGTGGGAAATTTAAGAATCCTTCGGGAACATCTTAAAGGTGGCTACATAGAGCTTTCCTTTCTTATATAGCAGAGACTTTAAAATAATAATATAAATATAAATTAATCATTTAACAATATATTAATATAATTGTTAACAATTAATAATTGTAATTATTATAATAATTATTATAAAATGGTAATAATAACAATTATTGTGTGTCCTGTACATATGGATGTGTGTGTGCCGTATGAGAATGTGGAGGTTGGAAGGCAAGTTCGTGGAGCAGCTTCCCGTCTTCAACCTTTATGAGGATTTACAGAACCACTCAGGTCATAGCTGTTTTTTTCCACTGAGCCTTCTTGCTGGTCCTGTTTTCTGACTTTGGAAGAGGTGGCCCAGCATCCCTTCCAGCCTTCCATAGCTGTCACTCCTGCTCCTCATTCCACTTGCTAGTAAGAGCTGAATCTCAGTTGATCTGCCCCAAGATCCCTGGGCACCAAACGCTAGTCCTCATCTGTAGCCCCAGGTCCTCCTTAACAAGATGAAAGAAACTCATCAAACTCTACATGCAAAAAGATGGGTCACAGAACAGCTACGGCAGATCGATGATAAAAACAAACCCCCAAACTTTAGTTCTCTTTAAAGAACAGTCCATGGATGGAGAAACACCACGTTCTGCTAGAGAGGAAGCAGGTGAAGGCAGGTCTAATGGATGCTCAGAGAGTAAAGGTGGCACTTGCTACCAACCCTGGAGGCCTGGGACCCACATGGTGAAAGAAGAGAAGCAGCTTCTTCCTGCAAGATGCCCTCTGACCTCCACACGCATGCCAAGGCATGCAATATGGCGGTGCACGTACAATTAAATTTCAAATTAAAAAAAGAGAGAAAGAATGAAACGCATTGAATGGAGTCGATTTCTGGAGAAGATAAACACTGTTCCTGGGAGCCATTTCATGGGACTGTGAAATGTCTTTTTGGAAATCTGATTTAGAGCTCTGATACTTAAAATGCAAACTCCATAGTTCTTTGTGTGTGTGTATGTGGTGTGTATGTATGTGGTGTGTTTATATATCTACTCATGAATGTCAGAGGACGGTCTCAAATAGTGCTCCTCAGATACCCAACACTACTTATTTGCGACAGGGTCTCTCACTTGCCTGCAGTTTGCAGATCAGGCTTGCTAGCTGGCCAGCAAGTCCCAGGGATCCCCGAATCTCCGCCCATGCTGGGATTACAAGAGCTCTTCTCCCCAGGTTCCGGGGACTTAACTCAATTCTGCGAGCTTGAGCTGTAGCTGCCCTCTGCCAACTGAGCCATCCTTTGATGGCAGCTCCTTCAGTGTTTGCTTACACACAGTGTGTCTTCAAAGCTAACTAATCTGGAAAAGCCTGAGAAGGTTTGAAGAAACAAAGGTCAATAAAACTTTCTTTATAATAGGAAAACAAAACAAAACAACACCCACAGTTCCAACCCTAAGACTGCAGCTCAGCAGCTCTGCCAACTGGCCGTGTTTCCAGTCTCTCTGACCACCATTCCGTATGTCCCTAATGTCTCCTTTTATCACACCAGTCTGTGGTGTGAGCCTCTAGGACTAACTTGCACTTTTCTTCTACACAACTGATTCTTTCGCTTCATTGATTGTGCTTGTTCTATTCTCTTCTCATTATTGTTGTTATAATAATGATTAAGAGTCCACTGTAATATGTTTGGTATAAGGAAGGAAGTTTGTGTGGAAAGGGGGAGGGGAGTTAGGGACAGAGAGACAGTGGGAGAGCATAGGAGAGAAGGGGGTCCCCCAGAGAGAGAAAGACAGAGAGAGAGTGGTGCCACTGTCTTTATCTGGCCCATGCCTCCATGGCGGTTGCAGGTGATGATGTCAGGTTGCTAGGCAACCTAGAAGCAGGATCTAGGGATGGGCTTGTGGATTAACATTCCTCCCTTTTTCTTTAATTAAAAATGGAAAACTTAGGAAGGGGTGGCGGGGTGGGAATGAAGGTGTTGTGTTCAGAAAAGACTGCTTCCTGCTGACTTGGGGATAGCAAGATCTCTGGGGACACTAAAGGAATTGGAGTATACTAGCAAAGTCCTCGGAGAGCCAGCTGTCTGGCTCATTGCTGGGTCCAGGATCTGTGAGAACATCTTCAACCAGGAAGGAAAATGCAGGTCTGGCTTGACGCAGTCTTCGAGGTTAGAGTGGGTAGCTGCTTTGGTGCTGCCTTGGATGTAGAAAACTCCTGGACCTGGCAGGATACTGGGACATCTATATGAACAGAAGACAAAGTTAAGTAAGCTTGGGTGAAAAACATTTTAGGTGCATATTTGAAACTTTTTGGACCCATGGTTTTGGTAGTTGGGGGAGGGGAGTCTCAACACTAGGGAAAGGGGTGGGGGAGAATCCTACCCTCTGAGGCAACAGGTGGGAAACTTAAGCTGTTGATTGGCAGGAGGTACCTAGAGTCCATTCAGCCTGAGAGGTGGATTCGGGTAGATTTCCTGTAGCTTACAAGAATACCTTTAGGTTTGCAGACATGTTAGCATCACCATTATAACCTGCAACGAAATATCCATCATAGAAAAAGGCGGTAGACACACATCTCTGTGTCACAGCATAGCAGAAGCTTGGAAAATTATTTTTGAATTAACATCATGAACTCTCTTTGAGGTGAGCTCAGGGAAGACAGAAGCCTTCCATGAAGTAGAAGGGGCAAAACCAAACAAACAAACAAAACAAAAACCCAAACAAAACAACAACAACAACAAAAACTCACTTGATCTTGATTTTTAGTATGATTACAAACCATGAGGGAGAAGCTGATTCCCTCTATTCAGAAGACTGGATGTATATAAAGCTAGCACAATGAGAAACATTTTAAAGTCTGTTCTTAAAAGACAAAATTTTAAAAAGAAAATTTAAAATCCTGAGCCTGAAACTATGATAGTGGATCATATAGTAGAATGTTTTATCAGAGTTAGATTAATAAATCACAGAGTTCCAGCGATTAATGTCAAAGCTCTGAACAGTTTTACTACTATCGTTGGATAGCAGCAGGACAAAATCTGAAGCACTTTTATCTATCTATTTATTTTGGATACCTTAAATCACCTTTGTAGACCCTAAAATACCTTTTTAGGTCCTCATACCTTAAGCTTCTGTATCCTTAGGCCTTTTTTCCTATTTACCATGAAACACAGTGATTGTTGCGAGCAGCCACCATTGTTTAGTTAAAGGAATGGTAAAAGGTTACATCTGAGACCTGCTTTTTGAGTCTGGTAACAAGGTAGACCGTGTCTAGACCTGACAGTGAAAGGGTTAGACTAACTTTGTAACCTATATGTCTTCTAAAGCCTATAGTTTTGAGTTTTAGGTTCAGGTTAAGCTAAAGCCTCTTAGTACCTTTCCAGAAAATGGAAAAATGTGACCCTATCTATGAGGACAGATAGAAAAAAAAGGCAAGCAAGCAATGACTTTCACTCAGCAAAAAGAAAAACTCCTGTCTTTGAGATAGCGTTTCTTAGCAACGAACCTAGACTTCTTCTGAGTAGCTTTTGACCTCCAGCCAAAAGTCTGTAGCCCCTAATCTTCAAGGATGAGCTAACCACCCCCACCTTCAATTGCAGCTGCATCCACACTTGCATCCAGGACTGGCCAAGCTTGAGCACCTAAGACTAACCAATTATCTTACTTTATAGCTTCCTCGTCCAATCCTAGATTGCCAAGACTGCAACTTCAAATCTCCCGCAATTTTTCTTTTAAAAACCTAAAGGCCTTTGTCTCCCGGTGCCACTCTTTGCTGACCGGCAGGGGTGACCCCATTGCGCAATGGTTAATAAACCTCTTGCTTTTGCAACGAGTCTTGGTCTGGGGGAATTTCTGGGAAGGGTGCGATCTTAAACTCCTGAGCTGTGAGACCCCAGGTCTTACAACAGCAGCAGCTCTAAGAGTGAGGCTTAAGGCCTGGTCCCCTGCACATGAAAAGAGGACTCGGAAGGTATCCGAGCCTCCCATGACAGAAGTTGGCAATGTGACCCTGGGACCTGAGTGTGAATCTGGGAGCCTTCAGTCCTCTGCCAGGCTAAGGAACTCAAAGGCTGAAGTGTCTGTGGTGCTTGTGCTGATAAGGCCTCCACGTCTCTGCACAGAGGGCTAGCGTGTGTGGGAGCATTTCGACTTCCAGAGGCCAGGCTGCCGGCAGGCAGGGCATGGCTTGTTGAAGTAGTTGTGGGACTGGTGTCCTTCCTGGCTGCATTTGAAACAGGTCCATGGTGGAGTGGACTCAGGCTGGGCCTTACGGGGATTTGGCGTCTCAGACCTCATGTTTCCTCTGTGGAAATGCTGATGGCCTCAGGGCAGCAGCCAAGGTCTGGGCCTGGAGCTTGGTCTTCTGCTGTAGCTGAGCCTGTCTGGAAGGCTCCTTTTGGGCTTTTAAGACTTTAAAATCCACTTAAACAACTCCTATATGGGGAGTCAGGGACTATCCTTATCCCCTTAGTTAAGATGGCAGTGAGACCTTGTCTATCTCAAGTAGATCTAAATAGACAATTTTATTCATTTCTAGTTACTTTTTGGCTGCCAGTCATGGGACTGCCCTTAGTCAAGATGGTGGTGAAGCCATGGCTCCACCTTCTTTATCCACCCAAAATCAACATGGCGGCCAGCCATGTATGTGTTGTTAGAATCTGTGGCAGGCAATTTAAAAACATAGCTATGAGTTTAATTTGCCAAAACCTGGGCATGTTAAAGAATTTGATCATTTATAAGATGACTGACTATTTAACTTGCATTTCTCAATCATCAATTAAAGATTAGGATTTTAGGTTTCATCCCTGTGAAGTTGGAGCCCTAAAAATCATAAACATAGTCCATAAAGAGATTGGGAACTTTCTTTTTTTTTTTTTTGGTATAGCATTATAGGGTTTTAAAATTTTTCCGTATGATTTAGTTTATAAAAAGTCCATAGCTTATAAAAGTTTAAAAGTTATATTATAGGCTAGCAAAAGCAAAGCTAAGCATATTTAAGGCAGTGATTTTTAACCTTCTGAGTGCAAAGATAGAGTATAGTAACCAAGCTCTAACATTGTAAATTCAATGTTTCTAGAATTAATATATTCCAAATTAAAAGTATCTTTGGAAATTACGTTACTGTTAATATTTAGGTAGCCTCTTCCCCCTATCGTGTCTCGCTCTCTCTTTCTCTCTCTCTTCATCTCCATCTAGTAAACCTCTTTCATATAAAATCTGCTGTGCACATCATCATCGTTTTATTTGATCCTAACAGTTACATGTTTTAAGATTATTTAAGCACAAGGTTTTACTTATTGAGCCTGGACACTAACACGTGATTGTGCCTGAGAAAGTAACCAATAACTTGTTTCTAGAGTCAGCAATACAGTAGAACAGTATAAAACAGCTTTAAAATTACACTTGAATTCATTATGCCAACTCCATTGGCCAGAGATCTTAGAGGCGAACCCTAAATACAGGCAGCTGGTGGCAGGAGAAACAGCATTCATTCATCAGTCCAAGAACTAGCAAAGGCGTAAGTAGTTAGACATTTAAAATTAGCTTGTTAATCTGAATAGACCTTTATAACCTTGAAAGTTTATCATCGTATAAGACACATTTTTGAACCAGGAATACATAGTATATTGTCAAAAACATAACTTTGAATTTTTATAGAAATCTATACCAATTTGAGGTGAGACTTATTGCTTGCTTAGTCCAAAAAGGAGAGGAAATAATAAATAGAGAGTGTTGCCTTACATCACGTAGTCATCTTAAGCTTGTGGAGTCACAGGGCAGGTTGTTAGCTGTGTTGGTGGACATGGATGCTGTTTAAAAACATCTGTGTTTCTATAGATGTTACAAACATATATGTATATATATACATATTTTTAACAAGAGTTTGAACTTAAATTATAAACACCGTGACCAATGGGCAAATTATAAATCCTTAGATAAGCGTTCACAGTATAATCTCAAGATGTACATTTTTATTTTGAGTGCACAGTGCAAAGAAAGGAGTGAGAGAAGATTTTTTTAAGAGTTGGGAAGTAGATTCTTAGGGATAAAACTTTGAGAGCTTAGAGCAAAGCAAGATTAGAAAGTATTTGGAAACCTTTTGTCTGTGGCAGTAAATAGTTGGGAATTGGGTATGTCATTTGGGGGGGGGCTTTGAATGTAGCCAGATTTTTGTAATAGAGTCCATTGAAGGAGAGGAGGGTGGGGGAGAGTGCTTGCTTGGAGTCTTGCACAACAACTTCGGGAGGAGTTGGGCAGGGTTGATTAGATCCACGTGGCAGAAGTGGACTCTTCAGTAGGATATAAGATCAAATTCACAGACAAATGGCTCAGACATACCTCAGGGGTAGTCCTGCCTAACGATCGCTGGAACAGAAGGCAAACCTGCTGCAGGCAGGCGTGGCGTGCAAAGGGGTTCTGGTATGCCCAGACATTGCCTGAAGAGCCCCCACTGGTTCTCGGCACCAATGTTATAATAAAGATTAAGAATCCACCGCAACATATTTGGTATAGCTAAGGCAGTTTATTGTGGAAAGGGAGAGGGGAGCTAGGGGCAGAGAGACAGTGGGAGAGGGTAAGAGGAGAGAGAGAGCAGAGGAGAGAAGGAGGTGACCCAGAGAGAGAGTCAAAGAGAGGGAATGTGCTAGGTGGCCTGGCTGCCTTTATCTGGCCTGTGCTTCCATGGTGGTGACAGGTGATGACATCAGGTTGCTAGGCAACCTAGAAACAGGCTATTGGAATCGGCTTCTGAACTAATGTTACAGTTGCCTCAGCCTTGTTCTGAGGTTGCTCCATCCCTTTGAGGCTCTGACCCTGCTTCACAGCTACTCTCCATAAACTGTTCACCTCCAACTCCAACTCACCCTCTCTGTTTCTCAGCTTTTATCTCCCACAGTGGAACTCTGCTGTCTCTTTATCTGTTTATCTTCCAGTGTTGGGCCACATCCCAGGACAATAGTCATCCTTTTGAGCCACTCATTGCATCCATTTCCACCCCTACCAACTGTGTCCGGGGGCAGGAAAAGACGAAGTTATTCGGAGAACAAAATATGGTTGAAATGGCCTCTTTGAGCAGGGCATGGAGAGGGCAACTCCCTTGAGGAAGGTCTGGACAGATGATGGCTCAGTGGCTAAGAGGACCTGGGTTCCTTTCCCAGCACCCACATGGCAGCTCACAACTACCCACAGCTCCTGCTACACGGGTAGCAGGGCACACGGCTCCCTCTTCTGGCCTCTGAGGACACGGGCACGCATGTGGTATAGATGCACAACCATGCACATATACTTTTTTTTTTTCTTTTTTTAGAGATGGAGTACCTGGAAAGCACTCTAGGAATGGCCCTGTTACAAAGTGCTAGAAAAACTTGCTTTGGGTCAGACTGTACTTCCTCAGGGATGCTCAGCTTCCTGCAGGTGTCTGCCAAAGCCATCCAGCCCCCAGGTGCTTCTGTCTCCAGTGAATGCTCCCTGAGCTTTGTCTCCTTTTCCTCCAAACTACCCGCTCCCCAGGAGTGGTCAGCCATTCCCTGAGGTGAGGGAGGGAAGCAGGGAGCTCCTCCCCATCTGGCTTCCAGTCATGCATTGCAGCGTTCTTGCAGGGAAGTTCCACCATCGATGAAGAGTTCCTCCTGGAGCAGTTTGACCTTGGCCGTCAGACCCAACGCAGCTGTGACGCGCTTCACCAGAGGAGGCTGAGCCAGGTATGTGGAGAGCTGGAGAGGAGTGAAGATATGAGCCTGGCTATACTGCAGGAGGCAGAGCTGCACCAGAAAGCAGAGCATGGGAGGAGACTCCAGAAAACACAAGAGAGCAAACCAGAAAACCTAAGGAAACTGGGTTGAGCTAAAGCCTTAAATGTTCTTAAATTCTGGTTTTCTGGGGGCTCCAGCTTTTTTTTTTATTTTAATTTTTATTAATTACAATTTATTCACTTTGTATACCCCCCCGTAGCTCTCTCCCTCCTCCCCTTCCAACCTCCCCTTCCTACCCCCCTTCTCCACATATGCCCCTCCCCAAGTTCGCTGATAAGGGAGGTCTTACCCCCCTTCCTTCTGATCCTAGTCTATCAGGACCGGCTGCATTGCCTTCCTCTGTGTCCTGGTAAGGCTGCTCCTCCCTCAGGGGGAGGTGATCAAAGAGCAGGCCAATCACTTCATGTCAGAGACAGTCCCTGTTACCATTACTATGGAACCCATTTGGATACTGAACTGCCTTGGGTTACATCTGTGCAGGGGTTCTAGGTTGTCTCCATGAATGGTCCTTGGTTGGAGTATCAGTCTCAGAAAAGACCCCTGTGCCCAGATTTTTTGGTTCTGTTGCTCTCCTTGTGGAGCTCCTGTCCTCTCCAGGTCTTTCTATTTCCCACTTCTTTCATAAGGTTCCCTGCGCTCTGCCCAAAGGTCGGCTATGAGCCTCAGCATCTGCTTTCATACCCTGCAGGGTAGAGCCTTTCAGAGGCCCTCTGTGGCGGGGCTCCGTCCTTTTAAAGCAGACCTCTTGGAATGTTATCTCATTTAATAAATATTTGATAAGAGAATAAATATTTAGTATCTATGGTAGTGGGTTATGTAAAAAAGACCTATCAGGGGCTGGAGAGATGGCTCAGAGGTTGAGAACACTGGCTGCTCTTCCAGAAGTCCTGAGTTCAATTCTCAGCAACCACCTGGTGGCTCACAACCATCTAGAATGAGATCTGGTACCCTCTTCTGGCATGCAGACATACATAATAAATAAATAAATCTTTTAAAAAAAAAAGGACATATCATTCAGAATCGTTACCGACTGCCCATTTTCAGGGACACTTTTTGAGCATTCCCTATGTTGAAACTGTAACATCTAGTAGGATTATTAATGAGTGTTTATTATTTATAAGCAAGAGTTGTATTATATTCAATAATGGCTGTGAGCACTGTTAATCTTACGCCCAAAGAATTCTTGAATTTTTATTTGAATTGAATTGATCACACATCATATTTTGTTAAAAAATTTTTAACAAATATTTTTAGTTGTGTGTGTGTGTGTGTGTGTGTGTGTGTGTGTGTGTGTGTGTGTGTAAAGGGTGCGGATGCCTGAAGAGGCCAGAGGCCCTGGATTCCCTGGAGCTGTTTTCACAGGTAGTTATGAGTCCATGTCAATCTTGTGCAGAACAAACTCTTCATCCATGGTCAACCCTCCGAGCGAGCACCCTGTGGGCGCTGGAGTGACCCTCAGTCCTCTGGAAGAGCGGTAAGTGCTTTTAACCTCAGCATCTCTCCTCCCCGCAGAACATAAACAAAGTTGACGAAACCCTGAAGCATGTCGGGAGAAAGAAAGTTATGTCAGCGTTTTGAAGGGAAGTGCCTCGGACACAGTCTTTTAACTTTCCGTTTAATTGCCGGTGCAGACAAGCGCACAGGACTCATTTCAGGAGTGAACAACAGACTCAAGCGCCTGTGCGGAGGGGGGAGTGTCTTCCCTCAAAGTCAAAAACAGAGCGTTAACTCTAATTAGCTCTCAATTGCCTGTAATTGTTCTTCTCTTGTCTAACCCTGTAGTTTTGCTTCTCTGAAGAGAAAAACAGAATCAAAGGTGTGCGACCCTAGAGGCTTCTCTCAGGGCGGGGACATGGCTCAGCAGGTAAATCGATTATGAGCCGAGTTTAGATCTCTAGATCACCTGAAGCCAGACACAGTAGTGCGTGTCTGAGAGCTCAGCTCCCAGGTGAGATGGTGACAGCGAGGTGAGTGGGGGCCGTCCCCAGAAGTCCACAGCCGGCTAGCCTGGCATCTCAGCAGGAAACAACAGAGAAGCCCTTACTCAAACAGTAAAAGTGAGGACTGTTGTGTACACACACACACACACACACACACACACACACACACACACGTGGGACAGGGATACCATGGAGCCAGGAGGAGCTGGTCCAGAGCAGGAGTGGGGTCAGGGGTCTAGTCATGTCCAACCCCAGAAATCTTGAGAGTCATGGGAGTGGGGAGCACTCCCTCCCCTGCCCCACTCCTGCACCCCACCTTTGCTCACGCTAGAGAAGGCCATGTAGTCGCACAGCCAGGTTAAACTTCCTCTCTTCCTATAAGGTCAGGCCAGTGACATGCACTCACCCCAAAGCCTCTACCCACTCGCCAAAGATTTAAAAAGCCTTTGTCCCCGCCCTCTACCCCCCACCCCCAATTAAAAGAGCTGCTCAACAAAACCTGCCTCCCAAAAAGTCTGTTCTGGTTGTGCCCATTGGAGATCTTACCCTGAGCTCACCCCTAGGCAGTTCCTGCCTCCTGTTTACTCCCCTTCAGGATCCTTTCCCGAGACTGTGTCAGGAAGGAGGGGTGGGGGGATGGAGAGTGGGGAGCTATTATTTCAGCAGTACGAAGCTATTGCTCCATCGTCTTGATTGGATTATTTCTGACGAATCTTATGAGATGCTTGACCTGCTTTTCTGAATGTGCTTTTTTTATTTGGTTGCTTTTATATTTTTTCTTCTTGTTGATGTTTTAAATACACACACACACACACACCACATACATACACACACCTTTCCTTTTAGATATACTAGGCATTCATTGAGCTTCTTCAACCTATGGGCTTATATTTTTATAGAATTTTTTTTTTTTGCTTTTTAAAAATTATTAGTATATATTACTTGTACAAAACAAGGATTTCGTTTTGACATTTTCATACATATGTACAATGTAGTTCTTTCATAGGCTTTGGGAAAACTTTCTGACAGTTAGTTCAAGTTTGTTTTCGGTTTCTCCACCCTTGCCCTACATTTGAATTGCACGCAAGCAGGCTTGAGGCTGTGTCCCAACTCACCACTTCTATTCAATTGTTTTGTCCTTTGTTTATGCTTTCAGTTGAGCGGTCTTTAAACTCTGTGATTTCTTTTTCCGAAATGTTTATGACTTTGTCTCATAATTACAAACGTCACGTCTAGACATTTGACGTTCTTCTGTCTTCCATGTCTATTTAATCTTTGGAACACAGGAGATACAGTTTCAGAAACTGCTTCGATATCTTTGCATCATAACCCCTGTAGGTGCTCTGAGTCGGTTTTCATGAGCTCCTTTAGGTCTTCAAGGTACACTCTGTTTTCCTGTATCTCTTCATGTCTGATGGTTTCGTGAGTAGATGCTAGGCATTGTAGATCTCACCTTAATGGGTGTTTTGGGTACTTTGGCATCTTTAATAAACAGGCTTGAAATTTGTTCTGAGCTACAATCAAGTTATTTGGAGAAATCTGGTCTTGCTTTTAAGGTTTCTCAAGAAAGAACAAAGTGATGTTTCTTCTTGGACTAATTATTTCACAGTACTGAGCAAAACCTTAAGCATGTTCTTCTTGGGGTTTTATGAACCCTTAAATCTTCCAGGAGCTACTGATCTCATCCTTGTGCGACTATCAGGCGCTTTCCCTCCAGTGCATTTAGCTGGTTCTTTTCTTGATCTTGGGTGGTTTCCTGTGTGTGAGCAGAGACACCCCCCCCCCACACACACACACACACTGGGCAGCCCTTTCTCTTCTGGTGCTCTGTGCTGTGAACTTCCGCAGCCTGGCTCTCCGTGGGCTCTTGATTCTTCTGTTTCCTCCACTGGCGAGTCCCTTGGGCTGCTTCTCGGCTCCTCCTCCCCCTGTGTCCTGGAGAACCTTTCTCTGCAGTGAACAATTATGGCACTTATTTTGTTTGTCCCTTTCTCCCAGGGACTACTGTCCTGGTTACAGAGGCCCTGTCGGTACCTTGCAGGTTATTGTTTTTCTCTGTGTTCCAAATGTGGAAAGGGGGAGGGACAGCCGGTCTGTGTTCCGGAGGTGCAAGGCCCCATCCTTAGGTTTAGTTTAGTTCCTCAGCACTGCGCTACTCTGCCCCCTGATGCTCTTTACAGCCCCTCCCACCCTGGCTCTGCTCACGCCTGCCTGTCTGAAGCCTCCCTTTCCCTGTGTGCATCTCTATCTCCTTTTAGATGTGATTCTTTTGCTATGGAAGTCTTTTTCCTTCTAGGTCCCTTGGTTGAGGTGATTGTATTCTTACTTCCCAACCCTCATAGCACTGTGCTATCTTTCCATTTTTCTCTTCACTCTCTATGCCAATTCACCCATCTGCTTGTTTATTCATTCAACAAACATTTCTGAGCGTCTGTGCGTTCAGAGGTGTTGGGAGCAAATGACACAAAACTGGAGGGCTGCCATCTTTACCAGGGCGGCTCCCCCACAACACAGCAACGCCTGTGGGTTGGTAGGGGGCGCACAGATGAACCTCTCTGGAGACAGTGTCTGCTTTATTGCACGTGAGCAACCACTTACAGAGTGGAAGCTATCGACTGTGACTGGTTAGCACATTACCTCGGACTGGATGGTGAGTGCCCACACCATCAGGGTCTCTATGCGAAAGAAGCACATTAAAGGAGAAATGGAGAGCGCAGACTCTCTGTAGGCCAGCTATGGGCTGCTCATGCTACTTCAGAGTCCAGTGTTCTGACTTCTGGGACACGGTGCGACCTGCTTCTTATTTGGAAGCGCAGCGTGCCACCAGGTCTCGCCTGCGTCTCCTACTTCCTACATTCAGGACTTACAGTCTAGCAAAGTCAACAGGCAAATGATTAACTGCAACAGAATGATGTCTTGTGTGTACACATGTAAGAAAAAAAAAACCCATCGATCCAACAAATATAGGGTGTGGGCAGTTTCAATAGAGGCGTCAGAGAACAAACCATGCTTGCGCTGCATCATGGAAGATCACCAGTAGACTAACAACTTCTGTTCTTCGCTTGGGTTCCATTTCCTCCCCCACTGGTTTACCCCGTTCTCTGTTTCCCTCCTTTTAGTTCAGTGTTTCTTAAGCTAAGAGAGGTGTGGCACCTTCCCCTCCTCCCAAGGATACTTGTCAGTGTTCGCAGATGGCATTTTGGGTTGTCCTACCTCAGCGGGATGCCACTAGCATCTCATAGACAGGGACCAGGAACACTGATGAACATCCCACTGTGAAGAGGTCAGCCACCCCTCCTCAGCCAAGAATGATCAAATCCTCAACGTCAACAGCGGCAGGGTTAAGAAACAGCCCTGTGAGTCAGCAAATATTTATAGAGCACCTGCCTCGGTCTAAATGTCCTAGATGCTAGGAAGATACAGGGGAATCTGTACCAGGGGAATACAGCCCCCAAAGCTTGTGTTCCAGAGGGCACAAAGAGATGCAGACAGATAATGAAATATACACAGCACACCAGACAGTGACCAGCGCTGCTGAGAAAAATGACGTAAAGAAAAGAGGGAAGGTGTATTGTGAGAAGTCTGCAGACTTTAAGTTGGCCGGGCAGGGAAGATGTCACCAGAAACAGCGTAAGCTAGGTATAGGAAGAGAGTACAGGGGTCCATAATGAAGGAGTGAGATGGGCATGTTCTAGAAGAGAGTGCCGAGCCCAACCCCAGGAGCCCCGCCCCCAAAAGCTGCCATATTTGATGTTTTAGATAGGCTGTTTAACTCCAGAATGTCCCACACTTTCCAGGACGTAGTTTAAATGTGGACAAGAGAAGTAGCCCCAGAGGTGCCCCAGAGGTGCCCCAGAGGATAAGAGCACTCACTGCTCTTCCAGAGGACCCAAGTTTGGTTCCCAGGACCCATGTTAGATAGCTCACAACTGCACGTAACTCCGTTTCCAGGGAAGCTGACGCCCTCTTCTGGCTCCTCAGCACCAGTACTCCTGTGTACATACCTACACACACACACACACGCACACGCATATAATTTAAAACATATATGGGAGTAGAGAGATGGGTCAGTGGTTAAGAGCACTTGTGGCTCTTGCAGAGGACCTGGGTTCAGTTCCCAACACCCACATGGTGGCTCACAGCTATCTGTAACTCTAGCTCCAGGGATCCAACACCCTCTTCAACCTAAATATTCATTAGGTCTACAAATGATACCCCTACATACACTCAGGCAAACACTCATACATGTAAAAACAAAACAAAACAAAACTTAAAAAATAAATGTGCCAGGCAGTGGTGGTGCACACTCTAATCATAGCACATGGGAGGCAGAGGCAGGCAGATCTCTGAGTTCAAGGGTAGCCTGGTCTACAGAGTGAGTTTCAGGATGGCCAGGGAGAAACACAGAGAAACCTTGTCTCAAAAAACCCTAGATAGATAGATAGATAGATAGATAGATAGATAGATAGATAGATAACAAATAATGTGAGGACAGAGACAGAATTGTGACTTCATGTTTCTATGCTACAATCAAGAGTTAAGTCAGTACAATGCTACATTGTAGCCACATCATCTGGCTGCAAACCAGCTTGAAGTCCTCTTTACATCCTTGGAGCAAACTGTGGAAGCATCAGAAAGAGAGTGAGGTCTACTCTTCCTTCATATTTTCCCTTTCCATGAAAAGGGCAGAAGGTTAGGGCTAAGAAACAGTTTGATCAAAGACAGAACAGTGCTCCCAATGCTGAGCACAGTTCTCCTAAGGCTAAGCACAGTCCTCCCAAGGCTAAGTATAGTGCTCTCAAGGCTGAGACAAGTGCCCCCAAGACGGAGCACATTGCTGTACTTAGTGAGTTTAACTAAATAGTTTGGTTCACTGGATCTTGTTCAAGATCATCACTCAGGTGAAATACGTGATTTTTTTTTTTTTTTTTTTTACCTGATTTCTACCTGCTTTGCGTATGTTCTCTCTTATAAGCCTTGGGACCCTCATACAGGGTTAAAAACCTGTTGACAAATAACTTAAGTGGTATGCCCACAGACTCACAGCTCCCGAGAGAAGGAAGGGTGGATTCAAGCCTAGGCCTGTCTGCGTCCAAAGGCCTCGTTCCTAGGCATTCCTGTTTTCCTAATTATGAATGTTCCCCACTTCTTTTGTAAAAATTAAGGCACGCTGAAACTTCGTAAAAATACTTTGGCAAGAACCAGCTGTAAATGCTAAATAGTAGCACACCTTCTGTAAGGTGAACCTTAGATTATTGAAACAACCAAATAACCAATAAATAAGTGACTCTAACAACTCTGGAATTATGTTACTTTCTCTAGACTCCTTCTGAGCCAAAGAGGGTGAAGATGAGGTATGGAGCCTGGTATCTGAACACCAACTTGTGGAAGAAGCAAAGAGCGGATGAACCTTTGGTCGACCCCAAGATCTCATACAAAGCTCAAGATACAAATTTAAAAAAGCAGCTTCAGGACCAGGTATGTACACGAGCTGAGATTTGGTTGTCTGGGCCACAGACGATGACTGTACCATTAGGCACAGAAGTTCCGCTAAAGTTTCAGGGCGTGTATATCAGATTCAGCAATGACAAAGGCAAGATGAGTTATGCGTAGCGTGTAAGAAGGAAGTATTGGATTTCGGCCAGACAGGGCAGTACTCCTACCATTTTCTGTTTGAGACAGGGTCTCACTACGTAGCCTTGGCTGTTTTAGCACTCCATCCATAGACCAGGCTGGCCTCAAACTCACAGACATCCTCCTGCCTCCAGAGTGGTGAGATTGAAGGTGTGTGCCTCCACACGGCCCACCGCTACCATTTTGAACTGTGTGTTCTGTGAACAAATGTTTGAAGGCAGGAGAGGGGGTGGGACCAGCACAGTGCTCAGAACTGGCATGACGTCATGAAGTTGTTTCCTCACCGAGGCGACTGTCAAAGAACTCAAAACCACACCTGGGGAGTTTCATTAATAGAATTCCGTTGCAACTGAGTCTCTCTAAGAGAGGGGTCAAAGGTTAAACGACACAGCAGCAGCAAAGCCACATCACCAAGACGTGACCCTGCTCTACTGTAGATAAGCAGCATGCCCGCTGGCCTCTTGTGTACACACATCTGTGGAAGCAAAGGTCGTCGCTGTGGCTCTGGAAACAGCTGACATGTGCTTCGCAGGACTCTGGCGAGCACATTTGTGGGCCTCTTCTCTTTTACAACAGACCAGAGTGTCTCCAGATGCCAGATGGGAAACATATGGAAAGGTGAAACCATGTGCGGATATGGCTGATGCTTCGTTAGAGATTGCCCATCAGTCTGCTCTGCGGATTGAAAAGGCAGGACGAATGGCGGTCATTATCCTCTTCCCAATGCTGGGTAGGAGAGGCTGCTTTTGGGAATGCTGTATGCCACAACTCCATAAGCATAACATTCCTGTATAAACTGCAAAATAATACAAATAATGCTTAATAGGACTTCTGAATGCATGGCTTAGGAGTGCCCAAATGTATAGGAATTTAATTCATAACATAATATTTTATTTTGATGGCGAAAGCTATTTATGGTGTCTGTCAGAGTGCTTACAGTCAGCTAATGAAGTGGTCTCTTTTCCATTTGGGCAATACGTCTGATATAACTATTGCAGTAAGCATTATCCATCAGGAGATCTAGACCCAGGAAGGAGTCAAACACTAAGATTGCTCCTATAACAATTTTTTTGAGGTGTAATCTCATATATGTGGTTCACGCTGGCCTAGGAGTCATGATCCTCTGCCTCAGCCTCCCAAGTGCCGGGCTTATAGTCATGCTCCTCCATGCCCAGCCTACAGTGTTGTTGGTAAATCACACATCCCTAAAGCCCGGGGGCCAGTTATAACCTGTGCATTGAAGGTGCTGAGGCAGTGTGTGTTTGTAGGAGAGCCACTCTTGACAGTCTTACCAGGAACTCAAGAGTTCTCACCCTCCTTGATTGGCTGGTTTGGGAAGGTGAAATGACCTTGAAGAGTTGGACTGCAGTACAGAAATTTCTACATCCACTTTTCGAGTTCAAATAAATATAAAGAAAAAACAAAAGGGTGCTTGAATGCTCAGAGGGTTTGGCACTGAAGCTAGTTTATTGTGATTGCTGAGCCCTTTGTAACTAAGATATATATATAGGGGCTGGTGAGATGGCTCACCTGCTTCCTTTACCAAGTAAATGTAAAATAATAATAATAATCTGTAAGATGTAGATAAGTTTTGACATTCCAAGTCAAAACTTTTCTATTTACTAAAAATTGTTGCTTATCCTTCATACGAGGGTAAGAAAAAAGAAATGGGCAAGAAGACAAAATCAGGAATCTCTGAAAGCCCTCATATTCCTTACCTGATGAAGCCCAGGAGGAAGCACGTGCGGTGAGGGGCTTCATGGCAGTTTCTCGACAGTGCCTTCACCCGTTCTTTCAAACTGCGCTTTTAGGAGAAGCTGCTTGCGGGCCTGCACGGAACAGCTGCCTTTAAGGACTTCGTTCTAAGCAGGGGCTACAGGCTGCCCAGGGTGAGTGAAGAGTCCTTTCGCAGAACCCTGCTGAGGGGCTTTGAAGAGGACCTCTGTGGATGGGAAGTACCCCTACGTGATCAGAATAGACCCCTCCCAGGCATCCACTCTGGGGCCAGAAGGATGCTGTCAAATAAAAATGCAGTGTTGCTGTCCAGAGGAGTCCTTTGCTGTCCGCTACTGTAGAGGCTTCTTCCTGCTGCTTGGAAGTCTCCTTTCCTTAGGACCAAGTGAAGGGAGTTGAGGTGCAGCTAGCATGCCTTGCACAGACTCTTACTAACACATGCTGAGCTCTCTAGGACCTCCTTAAGTCCCCTGCAGTCTAGGTCTAAGGACAAATTTACGTGGCTTGGGTTAGCATGAAATTGACTGGACCCATGCCAGGCCACATCTTGCCATGCCTGATACTTTCCATAGGTGTCAGGGACTCAAATTCAGATTTTCGTGCAGCAAGCATTCTTACCCACTGAGCCATCTTCCCAGCCCTGTGTCATATATGGCTTTCTTACTATTTATATCGTGAAAACATCCCTTTTCATCCTCTGTCACTTTAATTCATTCTGTGATGCACACGTAGGTCAGCTGGGGGCAGAAGGGAACATGCCTGACATGCCCTCTCTACTGCACGAACTCTGGAGAGGTGGTGCCCATGGATCAACAGAGACATTTGGGAACACCTGTCACATGGACTCTGGCACTATTTTATCCCTCTTTCTTATAGCCTATAGCTACTGTCTTACTGATAAAGTTTCATCTGAAAGAAGCAATCCATTGTAGTAAATGAAGTGAGCACTCAAGAGGCTGAAGCAGAAAGATGATTGCTGTGAGTTCAAGGCCAGCCTGGGCTACAGAGTGAGCCCGTGTCTCAAGGAAATGAAAAAAATAACTAATAACTAAATGTAAATTACATACACAGGTATACATATACACAAAACATATCTGTGTATGCATTTATATGCTGTCACAAAATGTGTATGTGAACATTCATTCTCTCCAACCTATAATGTATGTGTATTGTGTGTATGTATGTATTCACATATGTCACAGGGGAGCATCTTCTTATGTAATAGACCAATGTTTATACATTGTCTACAGTGACCCCGGTAGGTCCCAGGCCTTTAACAACCTCAGCCTTTGCTGAGCTGGGCTGGGCCAGGGTGGGGTATGGGATGAGGGTGAATTCATTCTGAGTATTTCTGACGCTAAGCAACTACTTCTCGCTCACATTGTCAACTCAAAATTTTGTCTAGCATCAGGAAATCTGTCAGAGTGAAGCTTTTGAGCTGACGCATTATAGCAGGAGGACTACACCATTTTTGTCTGGCATTCTAATGAAGAGACTCTGATTTTTTTTTTCTTCCTGTAGTTCCTTGAGAAGATATACACCGAGGAGAAAGTTAAATCTGAAAATGTGAAGGCTCCTAAAAGACTCGCCCAAACAGAGAGGAATCCTGGGAGAAGATGAGGCGGCATTTATTGACGTCATGCTTGGGTATTGCGCCATTATTTTATTTATTTAGTAGAATATGGCAAATGCCCACTGCGGGAAGGTCAGCCTGGCAGCAGCCGTAAATATAAAACCCAGCACAAATGCTTTTCTAAATGCTTTAGTTGATCATTTCTTGTATTGGGTTTAGTTATGTCTAGTTGTGTATGTCTGCATTGGGTGTGTGCACGTGAGTGCAGGGGCCCTCAGAGGACAGAGGAATCCCTTGGAGTTGGAATGACAGAGGGTTTTGAGCCACCGTGTGGGTGCTGGGAATTGAACCTTGGTCCTCTGGAAGAGCAGTGAGTACTCTTAATGGCTGGCCTGTCTCTCCAGCCCCCATTGATCAATGTTTTGTTTGTTTGTTTGGTTGGTTTTGGGGTTTGACCTTCTTCAGGCAGAGCCTTGCTATGTAGCCCAGGCTGACCTCCAAGTAGTCATCCCCATGTCAGCCTCTCAGGGGTTGAGTTGCAACTGTGTACCAACATTCCTGGTGCATTAAAAAAAAAAAAAAAAGACATTTTTGTGTATTTACAAACTACAGGATCAATATTCACGCATAGTCTTCTCGAGGTTATGTTATGTTATGAAAATTACATTAGTGTATTGATTCTTTGTAAAAATAAAATTGTAAGTAAAGGCAAAATCATTGTTATTACTTTGATTGAGTAGCTGACTCTGAATGAGTACCTCATTTCTTTTTTACATTATTCCTTCCTTTCACTGAGTTAAGCTAACTGAGGTGTTTTTCTCCTCTCTTAGGCATGCTAGTCTTGCTAACAAATGTGTACTTACAGTAAAAGGCCATAGGTCAAAAAGTTTAAAGGAAAATCAAGCTGACATATTTTATTACTTTTTAACGATTAAAAAAATTATTTGTGTGTGTCTGTGTGCATGTGTCTGGGTGTGTGTCTGTGTGCATGTGTCTGGGTGTGTGTCTGTGTGCATGTGTCTGGGTGTGTGTCTGTGTGCATGTGTCTGGGTGTGTGTCTGTGTGCATGTGTCTGGGTGTGTGTTGTATGTGTACATGCATGTGGGTAGCCACAGAGGTGAGAGTTACAGGAAGTTGTGTGTTTTGATTATTAAGTAGAATATGGTAAGTGCCCACTGTGGAAACTTCAATCCCGAAGCATCCATAAATATAAATATAATTATCTGGGGAGAATGGGGGGGGGGGTTGGACAGCTAGATCAGTGGTTAAGAACTCTGGCTCTTCCAGAGACCTAGGGTTCAATTCCCAGCACCCACAGGGCAGCCCATAACCATCTGTAACTCCAGTTTCAGTGAATCTGACACTCTCTTCTAGTGTCTATGGGCACCACACATGTACGTGGTGCACAAACACCTCTACAAGCATAAAATAAAATTTTAAATTAAAAGTAACTTTAGAAACGATTTTTGGGTATGTGCTTATGATCATGGCTGCATGTGTGTGGGAGTGCATCTGGAGGTCAGAGGTCAACCTTGGGTGTTGTTCCTCATAGGCCATCCATCACTCTTTTTTTCCTTTGAGCAGGGTCTCTGGCTGGGACCTGGCCTCTTTAATTCAGCCAGGCTGGCCAGCTGGTAAGCTCAGAGCTCTGCCTGCTTCCTCTTCCAACAATTGGGATCACAGGCCATGCCATTACGAATTTCTACATAGATGCTGGGAATCAAATGTGGACCCTTATTCCTACACGGCGAGCATTTTGCCAACTCCCCAGGTACTCCCTGTCACATCTCAACAGTCTTACACAGAATTACACTTTAAATTTGGTTGTTGGTAACACACCTTCAGTTGAGAAAGACAAGAGAAAAAATTTTTGAAAATTAGTGGAGAGATAAGAAAAAAGTATTTGAAAAATGTGTATACATGACGTGGCAGAAAAGAAAATGCAGATCAATTCAATGGTACTCACTTCTACAACTGGTTGAGAGCTGTAATTTCTAAGCAATTTTTCTCATCCATTTCCTGTTCCACATGCTTGCTCTTTGTAGCCCACCATTTGGCTGATGGGATCTCTTGGTGAACAGAATGACTGAAACCTTCATCCACAAAGGGTCTGAGCCTCAGTGATCCTACCCTGGCGTTTTTATTACAAGACTCAGTGGAACTCCAAGGAACCCTCTGCTTTCTGCAACTTGTCAATCATTCTCCTGGTTAAGGAAGAAGTCTCCTCACTCTGACACCAGAGTGTCTTCTCGCTTCCTTTTGTTTGGGTTAGTTTTGGTTTCTCGAGAGAGGATTTCTCTGTGTAGTCCTGGCTATCCTGGAACTTGCTCTGTAGACTGGGCTGGCCTCGAGCACAGAGATCCACCTGCCACTGTCCTCCAAATGCTGGGATTAAAGGCAGGTACCGCCACTACTGCGACCTGTCTCTTTCCAGTTCTTCACGGAGCATGAAGAGCTCACCCTTGCCAGCTGGTGGCGGCTGCTGCTCAGTCAATTGAAATATTGCTGTTTTCGCTGGAGGGTGGCTTTTCTCAAGCTTATATATCCACAGCGCAGTCTGGAGGCTAAGGAACGATTTTTCCAGTGGTCGTTACTTACACTCAGACCTGCATATCCAGAGTAGAAAAATCGGGTGTTTGCTCAGTGTAGATAGCCGTGGCTCAGTGTCTGTGTGGCACTGGTTCCAGGGCTCTGTGAGATCTGCTGGTGCTCAAGCCCCTTACACAAAATGATAAAGAGCCAGCAGGTGACCGGCATGTGTCGCACACTCCACTTCAAGTCCTAGCTACTTTACGTTCACTACTTAATTTGCAAAATGCAAATTAAGAAATTATTTTAAATTAAGAAACATTGTGCTGTTTAGGGAGTGACAAGAAGAAAAAAAACACACGAAGGACAAAAATTGTTTTAATATTTTCATCTGGAACCGTGAGGGTCAGAGCACACAGGGCCACAGTGGGCAGTGCCACTGCACCTCAGAAACTTTGGGCCCGAAATAGAGTTTATGTGCATGCACCACAGCGTCAGCCAATTGCCTTCCTGCTTTTGCTCTAAAAATAGTTTCTGCACTTTGCATGGTAGCTCATGCCTATAATGCCAGCACCCCAAAAACTGAGGCAGAAGGAATGCCAGGTTTAGGTCCATGTGGTTCTTATTCTGTTCCAAATTACCAAATGATAATGATGATGAAAGTGATGATTATGATTATGATGATGATGATAGATCAAATAGGTTTCTCAATGAGAGCCAGTGTTAAGTGGAAAACCATAGCGGTGAATAAGCGTTCAGTAAGTCTATAAATGTTGGTGTGGGTGGATGTCTGTTGAGCAAGATCAGCAAGTCTAAACCCAGAATAACTTTAGGGAGGGGGGAGATAACATTGCTTCTTCAGTATGCAGCCATCAAGACCCCTTCTAGTGTTCTTCCCACCGCACAGGGTAGAAATCTGAAGGCCACATTTCCCAAACCCATTCACAGTTGCACCCATCAAATAGCCTCACATGCGTGGAAGCCCACAGGGGGAGTCAAAAGGAGAGCTGGTCTGCTGCAAGCCAGTAGAAAGGGCATCCAGCCCTGTCATAGGCGGGCTTTCAGCATTCATGGGTGCGGTTTTGGCATCCAGTCCTTAGATGTGGGCATGTAGGTGATGAGCCGCAGGTGGTGCTGGCTGGAGAGAGTGTGTGTCTTCCGTGTGCCTGGCTTTGCTGCAGTCAGGCCCAGGACTTTTTAGGTTCCCATGGCTAGTTTCAATTGGTGGACAACTGTCTTAGGGTTTCTAGGCTGTGATAAAACATGATCGAAGCTACTTGGGGAGGAGAGGGCTTAGTCTATAATTTTTACTCCATCACTGAAGGAAGATTCGGCAGGAACTCAAGCAGGGCAGGAACCTTGAGGCAGGAACTGAAGCAGAGGACCCGGAGGAGGGCTACACACTGATTTACTCCCCATGGCTTGCTCTTCCCTTTAGTGCCCAGGACCACAGCTGAGGGCTGGCACCTCCCACATCAATCGTCAATCAAGGAAATGCACCTCAGGCTGGTCCACAGGCCAGTGTGTTGGGGGTATTTTCTCAACTGTGGTTCTCTTTTCCTAAAAGACTCTAGCTTGTGGCAAGCTGACATAAAAATCTCTAGCACAGAGCTAACCATTCAACAGAAGCAGCAGCCAACTCAGCTGCTACAAGGAGAAATCCAAGTTGCTGAGCTCACAGATAGTCCTTGTTCAGGTGTTAGCAGGCAATACTGGAGTGTCTGTGGAGAGATGTGACTGAAATACAAAGGAAAAGTCAATTTTTAAAAAATTATTTGTGTGTGTGTGTGTGTGTGTGTGTGTGTACAGGTGCCTTCAGGGATCAGGAGAGGGAGGGTATTGGATTCTTGTAGAGGAATTTTAATTCAGAACATGGCTGTTCTGGCCAGAGGTCACATCCAAAGACCTTTTAGGTCTGTGTGATCCAGCTGGAGTACAAACACACCTTTTATCTAGGAGACAGAGGCAAGAAGATCTGAGTTCAAGGCCAGCCTGGTGTAGAGCAAGTTTCAGTAAAGAAAAGCTCAGATCCAGGTGTGGCAGCATACGTCTTGGATCCCAAACAATGAAGGTAAGGTTAGTTTGTAGAAGGAAGCTCCATGTTTGAAAATCATGTCTAATTGAGTGGCAGAAAAGGTGATGAATTAGAGAGAAGAGAGGCCAAGCAGAGCAATTCAGGAGCCGAGAGAAAAGCCAGATTGAGTTACTCAGCTGGGAGAGGAGTTTGAGTCAGAACAGCTGAATTGCACCAGCCAGCCCAGAGCTCAGTAAGAACAAGTAAGGGTGAGATTACTAGGCAGGGAGTCCAGCTGAATACATTCTAGGCCTAGGTTAGATTGTATGCAGGCTAGAAGCTTCCAAGGCTAGGCCTAGGTTAGCAGATGGAGGCAATAAGCTTCTGAGACAACAATTACCTCAGGAGAATAAAAGTTCATTTTACAGATCCCTTGGAGCTGAACTCACAGGTGGTTGTGAGCTACACCTGTGGGTTATGGGAACCAAACACAGGTCCTCTGACAGAGAAGTGCATGCGCCTGACTAACAGACCGTGGGATCAGCTTTTCACTGACTATTGAATCCCTTCTGCAGAGTGGAGCCTTTTGATGGTGTCACAAAGAATGAAAGAGTCTCTGCACCCCTCTTCCCTTTTCCTCAAGCATCCCTGAGGAATACTTACCTTCTTCGTTCTTCTGAGAGTCTCAGGCTACTGAACTAAACCATGTGTTTGTTTTCTGCCATGCCACACCTGAGGACCACGGGTGGGGATGTTTTTTTTTAGAACTACAAGTTTATTGAGTTCATGAGTAGATTGAGTACATCACAGATTCCTCACACAAAGCACCAAAACGTTGTCAGTTTAAATGCGTTCATAGTAAGCTCAGAGTCACCAATAACTCATCGGTGTTGCATTAAGGAAGTTAACCTAAACCACTTCTCCTTGGTGTCATTTAATCACGATCGAGCCCAGATTGGAGTTCTCTACTTTATGTGTGTGTGTCTCCCATCTTCTCTGTCTCTTGTGTGAGTCTGAATCTCTCTTCTAAATCTGTCATGCTGTGTGTGATTTTATGTATCTGTCTATAACAGAGGGCTTTGCTCTGTGTT